ATATCTGTCAATAGTATAACAAGCGTTCCAAATATGATGTCAGGAAACCCTCAAGGGCCAGGTGGCCCAGGTCGCGGAGGACAGTACCCCAACTATAGCCAAGGCGGAGGACGCCAGGGCGGCGGTGGTCCACCTCAGCAACAACAAGGTTACAACAGCGGACGTCCTCAGGGTTACGGCGGCTCTCCTCAAGGGTATGGCGGTCCTGCTCCTAGCGGGGCTCCCCAAGGATATGGCGGTCCTTCTCCTGGAGGTCATCAGGGAGGGTTCAGCCCCACCGCTGGACCTGGTGGAAACCACGGGCAGAACATGCGAGGAAACGCCAACTCGAGCCGTGGATTCCAGTGGACTACAGCAAGAAACAACCAGATTCCTCCAAACGCGGTGCAGGGCGGCGTGGAGAAGGACGGGAAGCCCTTGTTTGTTGCTCGAGCCCTGTACAAGGGCGGCTTGCATCCAGGCAAGGCTGCCGAGCATATCCAGGGAGGCGGATGCAGCATTGGATATGGACACAAGGAGGTCAACCTCAACGAGTATCAAGTTCTTTGTGGCAGCGCGAACAATCTCAAGTGGGTTGAACAAGAGAACTCGCTTCTCGTTCAAGGGTTTAATCCCGTCGAAGGCGGCTATGAGGAAAGTGGCGAGCCGCTCTATATTGCAAAGACTTTATACGATGGCTCGCAACAGCTGGGAAAGTGCGGCTCGCACATCAAGCACGGAATGTCGTTTGCCTACGGCCACAAGGAAAAGTCTGTTGAGAAGTATATGGTCCTTGCTTACACGAACTAGGTCGAGTTTATTAACTTCACAAATATATCAAGCTGCATAGCAGGAATATTATTGCCCTAGAGTGTTGGAGAGTTTGACAAAATGTGGACAATGCAATGGTGACTTTATCCGTCTTTACAACGCCTATTTCTTTCTGTCATTTGTAACGATCAAAGGTGTGAGAAGTTTTCTAAAGTATAGGCTAACACTATCAGCTCCATACTTGAGATGCGTTATCAAATGTGAGTGTGGTGAGTGGAGAAAAAAGAGCTAGTTGTTAATAGTCAAATGTTTAGCACAGCAGCTTAGCGCGATTATATTAAGCAATAAACTCAAACCTCATAGGAAATTTGGAAGCGGTTCGCATGAGAAAATTACTGGGCCACTACGGCTCCTCCTTCGGAAGAATCAGAGTCGTCGTAGCGGCAGGACAATGGCCGGTGGTGTCGGACGGCCTGTCGTCCAGGGGAATAAAGTACTGGGGTCGGCGATCGAGAGCATATGTGTCACGGAAAATGATGGAACTGTTGAGCTCGTCCCCGCCCGGATCAAAGTGGAACCACCGGTTAGACACCTGTAACCAGCGTGTTCGAAATCCGTCGGCTGATTTAAGCTAAGCGCATAAGTACTGGAAGTCGTGGAGCATGCGGAACACTACGGCAGCCTTCCACCGCATAAATATTGCGTCGCCTGTGTGTCGGATGTTGTCGATAGAGAGCTCTGCATGCGATCGGTAGATTTCCCAGACTGTAAGGGTCGTTAATAATCAAAATTTAGGGACAGTACTGAGACATGTATGACTAATAAGTAGTTACAATATTTTCGAGTTTCAGAAAAGAAATTCGGATTGAAAACAACTCGAATTAATTGGCTATTGTCGTATAGTGGTGATTATACCACGTTGTGGCCGTGGCGACCCTGGTTCGATTCCAGGCAATAGCATATTTTTGCCTTTTTTTCGAATACTTTTCCAGCATTATTTTTTTAGAGATATCATGGCTGTTTTATCGAAAGGTGTGTATATTACTCAAGATAATAGATAGGAACGGTTATTCTTTTTGCTACTCAAAAATCTTTGTGACATCAATGGTGGATACCCGGAGCATGGTGTAGTGGTTCCGGTGGTAGGTCACCTTCTGGTGCGCCGTACGCCGCTTCTTTTTTGTGACGGTGAAGAGTTTTCCGTCTGGGTGCTCAATAACGGTTGCCTTGATATTGAACAGACCCGGATCAACAAAGGGCTGGCCCTTGATCGTATAGTCGCGCGAGCCAAGCTCGGTTATCTGCGTCAGCGACAGCAGGTCGCCCAGCTCGAGATTTTTGATGCGATCCATGACGATAATATCGTTTTGAGTGACTGTGAACGGACGTCCCTTGATAACCACTGTCGCGTAGTACTTTTGCTGGTCGCGCAGGCGGGAAACAAGCTCTGTTGAAGTCGGGGACCATTTAATTGGTGTGCTTGTCGTCGAGGGCGAGGGCGAGAGGGAGTGCGCCTGTGACATGAACCGACGTCCCTCGGCGACGCTCTGCGCTTTAATTCTGGACCCAAGCAGGGAGCGCGAGATTGCTGAAAGCGACATTTCTGCAAACAAAAAATAAAGTTCTGATCAGGCGAAAATAAAGCTAAATTCGAGAGTAACAAGAAGCGAGGGAAATATGTGGACAGACTCCAAGCTTTTTTGTAGCTGAAATCTCCTGTCACTATCTAGCATGATCTCAGCTGGTCCAGATCAGCAAAGTAATCAACGCATATGCAGCTCCTGGCTCAGCAGCTCGTGGGCTGATTGCCTCGATTCCGTTGGCTGGAACGTGCGTATGCGGGATTTTTCTACCAGTTCAAAAATTTTGACTGCTTTTGTTGATAAAGAGCAGGGGGAGGCGGCTCGCTTTTTTCGGGGCGAATTTCGTTATCGCTACCGAGCGAGCGATATTGAGAGAGCGTGTTTAAGGCTCTAAAGCGTTTATCGTTTCCTCTCTTTTCTTCACTTTGCTCCTTATTTCTCCGTAGTTTTTTGGACTAGTACTTTTATAGGCAAAGATTACAGTCTGCCAATCAATCATAATGCTGAAGAACGTGTCTCGTCTTGCGTCCGCGACCCGCGTGCCCGTTGCTCGCGCTATGGTACGTATTCAGATTGAGCTGCTAGCATAGAGATTCGACACCTGATTTGGAACACACCTTGGCCACACTACTTTGAGTGGGGCTATCTGCACTTTATATTACGCTTGTGGCAGTTGCTGAATCTATCGGAAGCCAGTCGTTGCTGATTAAGGCTTGTGTGCAAAATGAATCCACAAATGATTGAGAAGGGAAAAACAAGTCACCCGCTTCCCTCAGTGCTTATCTGGCCAAGAGTATATTTTCTCAAAACTAAATATGTATCATATATCTCCCGCCATACTCGTTCCAAACTCTTGTAGGCTCGCGCTGCTGCTCCCGCTGCAGTCCGTGCTCTCTCGACCTCCGCCTCCGTCAAGGCCGGTGCCAAGCCTGCTGCGTCTGAGGTCACCTCGATCCTCGAGGAGCGCATCCTCGGCGCCAGCAACAAGGTCGACCTCCAGGAGACCGGCCGCGTGCTGTCTGTTGGTGACGGTATTGCTCGCGTCTACGGCCTGAAGAATGTCCAGGCCGAGGAGATGGTGGAGTTCTCGAGCGGTGTTCAGGGTATGGCTCTTAACCTCGAGGCTGACAACGTCGGTATTGTCGTCTTCGGTAACGATCGCCTGATCAAGGAGGGCGACACAGTCAAGCGTACCGGATCCATCGTCGATGTCCCTGTTGGCCAGGCTCTGCTCGGCCGCGTTGTCGATGCTCTCGGCAACCCCATCGATGGCAAGGGCCCCATCAAGACCAGCCAGCGCTCCCGTGCTATGGTCAAGGCACCCGGAATTATCCCCCGCCAGTCCGTCCACGAGCCCATGCAGACCGGAACCAAGTCGATCGACTCTATGCTTCCCATCGGCCGTGGCCAGCGTGAGCTGATCATTGGTGATCGCCAGACCGGCAAGACCTCGGTCACCCTCGACACCATCCTCAACCAGAAGCGCTGGAACGACGGAAACGACGAGACCAAGAAGCTCTACTGCGTCTACGTCGCCATCGGCCAGAAGCGCTCGACTGTTGCGCAGTTCGTCCAGACCCTCGAGGAGAACGACGCCCTGAAGTACTCGGTTGTCGTTGCTGCCACCGCCTCCGAGGCTGCTCCTCTGCAGTACCTTGCTCCTTACTCTGGCTGCGCCATGGGCGAGTACTTCCGTGACAACGGCAAGCACGCCCTGATCATCTACGACGA